CCTCGGGATACTCCCACGAGACAAAAGTAATACAGGCAGAATGTGACGCCCCGGATCCGCAGCACGCCTTGGTCTGGAAGAAGCAGCAGCGCAAATTTGCGTCGCATGTCCCGTCGGCGTATTTGATCTGGACGCGCGGGATGACAGCGCAGTCAGCGATAGCTTCACTCGTGGACCAGATCCTGGTCCAGAAGACAGAGGTCATGATCGACGCCGGGATCGACTTGGAGCAGTTTAAGGAGGCCAACAACAGTGTGGCGTCTCTCTGGAAGTTCTTCACCTACCTTACAAGGGTCCTCGGAGGTTGCATGGTTTACATCACCATCGGATCCGTCGGTGAGCAGGAGTTTGCTATTGTCGGTAAGTTTGTACGGATGGCGAAGAACTGGAAAGGACCGCCTGTCAACGTGACGCTCATCCACCCTTTCAATGACAACTTTGCAAGAACGGATGATGTCGTAAATCTCGATGACAAGTACGATGTTCACCCGCGACTCACGACGACGGACGCGATGCACCACGTGCTGCTACTGGAAATAAATCCTGAGCGGAAGATTTCGGACACTATCCGGAGCCTTTTGTGGGAGACCGTCTGGCGGGAAGTACGATACGCTGTCATTGTCATTGCTCTTACGCAAGTCATAGACAAGATACACGACGCGGCGAAAAGGGCCGCCCAAGAAGCGCCGTCGAGGAACCAGTCATACTTTTCGGATGCGGATATCAAACGATGGGTCGCTGTGGTCGGAAAGTGGACAGCAGCCAGCTGGTCGATGAACAGCATGCGAGAGCAGATCCAGCGGCACATTGACATTGTCGACATTCATCTCCCTGCCGAAAGGAAGAAGACGCTTGAGGGCAAGTTGTCGTTGTTGGTCTTTGAGCAAGACGAGGAGCTTGGTTCGCAATTAACGTTTGCGCAGCGGGAGGCAATATGGGTCGATGTGCAGGAAGCCATAAAGCCAGGGACGGCTGCCCTGTTTTGTGGCGAGATAGAGACGCTTGTGGCTGCGATGCTCGAGGACTATCGCAATGAAGGGCTAAATGGAGAGGAGAATTTGAGAAACTTGTCGTTCCCTCTTGTTGATACGTATTTTGGTAAAGGCGGGCGGTGGAAGGATTCGTTCTCTGAAAACCAGGAGCTGATCGCTGATGGGATGACGGATGCCATTGAAATCGGATTTGTGGGATTGATTCAAGCGCTGGCATTGCAAGAGACGGAATAATAGAATGATTTCTGTGTCGATATCCGAAATTCTTGAGGATTTATAGAGCAACCGTAACTGAATGAGACCATCGATGATACGCTTTTCCAAAGCCATCTAGCACCACGCATAGTACTCATTATCCTCCCACACGACCTCACCCTCGCCCTTCCACCGCAGACTGGGAATGCTGCCATCAAGTCTCTCGTCAAAGACGACCCGCACGGCACCCTCGGTCCTGTCACTCACCCTCTTTGCCGAAGCCGAGACGCCCTCATCAGGGTTCCAGACCAGCACCTTTGCGAGCCCCCATTCGGCGGCCTCAATCACCGCAGCCTGCAGCAGCGCGGTTACGTCCGCCTCTGGGTCGCCAGCCACGCGGAGGACCTTGAGCTTCTTCTCGCGGAAGTCGTGGTCCCAGTACACCCACGCCTTGCCGTTAACGGTAGCCGCCCCACGGTGCGTAACCTCCCGACCGACGAGCTGCTTGGCCATGAAGCCGTCTCGCGTGAAGTGCCAGAGCATCTGGTCGGCCGAGGGCGCGAAGGCGACGTGCGTCTTTCCGTCTTCAGGCAGGTTCGCGAGCTTCTTCTTCAGGAGCTCGACATCCTTTTCGCAGTAGGCGGGGACGTCGCTTTCCTCGAGGTATCGCACACCGTCAGGCTTGCGTAGGACTGAAGCATCGTCCGGGATCAGTGAGACTTGGAGTGACGGGTAGACGGCCCAGCCGAGGCGGGCGTAGTACGTGAGGCCAATGTCGCTGTAGAGCGCGCTGGCTTTGGAGTCGGCGTCCATGGCTTCCTTTAGGCTGTTCAGTAGCCGCGTTGCCATGCCGTGGCTGCGGTAGGTCGGGTTCGTGTAAACGGAGGCGATGGCGTAGGCCTTTTCCTCGCGGAGGGTTGAAGAGGAGGCATCGCGGACGAGGAGGGTCTTGGCGGTCGCTTCGCAGGATGAGATGATGTGTTCGGGGTCGGCCGGGTTGAAGAGGACGTAGTAGTTGCACTGAGATGAGAGGGCCGTCTTAGAGAGCGCGACTTCGCGGGCCATGTAGTTCTCAAGGGACATTGGAGGGGCCCATGAGACGCCGTTGAGGCGCCATGCGGCCTCACGCTGGGCAGGTGTTGAGGAGGCGAACTTGATTTCCTTTTCGGACCCGTGTTGGGTTACAATGAGGTCCGCCATGTTAGGCTGCGCAGGTGAATGTGATGGAGTGCCAATGAAGGATGAGTTTGTAGATGAAATTAAAGCCGTTTCTCGGGTGGTGAGATGAGATGGCAGTAGTGAGTGGCTCGGTGACTTGCGTATCAGCTAGGACACCAACACTCAAACTTTCTGAGTACGGCCGAGAACTGTACTTTTGAGTCCTTATGAGAAGTGTGATAAATGGCTATCTGAAGTAATAGAAGCAAGTGAAGCTGAAAAAGACTCGACTTGACGTGGGGGGCCTCATGGCAGATTCGCGGGGCTGAGTGGGACATCCCACAGCGGGGTTAACATGTACCCAGGTCTGGTTAGAGCCACGCCCTGCCACTGCGGGAAATCCTAGTCACAACGGCCACAGACAGCTAAAAGGCGTACATGTCAGTTTGGCTGGTTTGCCTCTCGTTCGTTTATGTTGAATAATGACCTGGCTCAAGTAAAACAATAGCCTCAGTGTAACCTCGGAAAGGGAAGTTCAAAGTGTATTGAAGGCATGTGAAGAAACTGTCTGGCACCGAAAGCCTCCAGCTAATCACGACTGAAGCCGATTTTCAATGAGGCCTCCTCAGTTGAGCTCTTCAATTCTCGGAGAAATGTTGCCCCTAGGGTCAGGCGTATAGCATCATGAGGATCCTCTTGCCACAAACAGGCGGTTCAATCTCTCCAAGTAATAAGCTCTCAAAGTCCACCACTTGGAGGCATAGGCCCGCTGGCCAGGTACAGGCTTGGTTCAACTTTCGTGTTGTTTGACAGGATGTCGCCAACAGTCCATTCGTACCCAAGGGCAAACGGAATGGACTTAATCAGGAGCCGCATTATTTGTCAAAAAGGGAAACGAAGAAGAAAAACGACATAGTTCGGAAGCGCATTGTAAATTTGAGGCCACCTCCGATGTCGCTCCGGCACACGGATCTGGGCCGGAGCCGGAGTGGGGCTGCACGGCATAGCGGACTAAGGCTCACGTTACCGAACTTAGATGGATCCGTGATTACAAGGTACTAAATGAAGGACAGATAGAGGCGCAGCGTCTGACTGAAGTCGATTTGGACTAGCCTTACATCGGACTATGCCTAGTTCTTAAGTTTGAATACTGCTTGGTGTGCCTCCCAGCCAGGCTTATTCAAGAGACACTTAGACCATCAACACTACAACCCGTTTCGGACACTTCATTTTTGTACCGTTCGGTCGAAACCTATCCTCCAGGCTTCTGATGCTGTTCACACTGCCACACAAAATTGTGAGGCTCCGAAGAACTACGCATTCCCGAATCTTGAACGGACAATCATGTCCTTATTAGGTGTCGTTCGATAGGGGACTCGCGATTCCGCGGGGAGGTCTCTAGTCTTGGGGTCGCGGAAACTGTACCAAGATTGGCGCATGAAGAGGCTGCGACACAACGTGTTAGTCAAAGATCGAGGGTGTAGAGATGTAGATTGTTACTTACGCTTGGCCTGGGGTGAAAGATAAGTTCTTGTCACTGCATTTGTCGTCAGAAAACCGTTTCATCCTATACGCAGTTTCTACCAGAAGGGTTCAGCTTACCACGAAGAGTACGCCATATAATTCCAGACCAGATCTTCGCCCGGGAACTCAGGGCACGTGTCCTTGGCCTTACACGCGTAGTTCTCGTGCCGCGACTGCGGCGTGTCCGGGATGTAGTCGCCGTTGGGGACCTTGCAGGAGCCCTGGAACGGGTGGTAGAGCCCCAGCCAGTGTCCCGTTTCGTGAATCACGGCCTTCGCGAACAGAGTGCCGTCCAGAGCGCTGTGGCCGATAACGACGGCGTCCCCATCGAACCACGTCCCTGTCGCTCCCACGATACCGAAAGGGTTTGTCAATAAGTCGGGAAAGGCGGCGTATCCGAGGAGGCCGGTATCCAATTTTGGCACCATGTACAGATTCAACGTCTCGGGCCCGCCGATGCGAAGCGCTCTCTGCATCTCCCGGGTCTCGTCATGTCGGTGCTCCATGTGGTTCATGTTGGCGTAGGTATCATTGGCGACTTCGTACGTCTCGATCGGGCCGAAGGTGATGCCGTGCTTAGCGTAGCCATCGTTGAGGGTGGTTCCAATGTAACGGATTTCGATTTTCTGGGTACATAGTCTAAGTCAGTGCATGTAACCCGGAGTCATGGTCTTTCTGATGAGCAAGTGGTGGGATAGTTACGTATTTAATGGAGTTTCGCTGTTCTTCCGTTCCGACTAGGAAGACATTAACAGGTATGTGAATCGAGGCCTGCTCTGTGTTCAAGGAGCGCTTAGAGAATGCCTCAAGGGCAGCCAAATCGTCCTCTCTTCCTAACGCATGAACCTTCTCATCCTGGCCGCACCAGTTGAGGGGGTCTCTTGCAGTATCTAGAGAAGGACGTTGAGATGCTTGGGCAAGTGCGACGCTGAAAAGCGATGCCATGCCCAAGAAAGGGAGAAGAATGGTCTGGCAGATCATGATGGGCGTGACTGAAAACTCAGGACGACTGATCAGACATTCAGGCGATTGTTGAAGGGATTGACCTGCGATTTGACCAAGGCACTGAGTAAATGGCACCCAGGACTGTGTGCTGCAACTCAAAAGTTTCACATTTTGTAACCCTCATAGGGTTGAATGAATAAATGGAATATATTTCTCCGCTTCCTGTTGTCTGATTTTGTAGAAGTCTAAACTACCATGGAAAACAAGTTGCAGTCGTAAAGGTTCCGAGGCGTTGCGTGAAAACTCTGGCCTTGGAGGCTCAGGCCAAACCAACCCTTGTGGTCTTTCCGACTCAAAAACTTTGTTCCAGGCTGACTTTCATCTCCCAGGGTCATGTTATTCATAAAGAGCCGCAGTGTTTGGTTACACTCAGCCCAACCCTGTCCTCCGCGGCTTCGAAAGTGTAAGAGACAGAATGAGGCAATTCCAAGCCAACTCGCCCCCAAGCCAACGTGTACTCTCCCAGCTGCATCGAGTTGGATGTCGGATTATGATTAAAGAGTGTATGTGTTTGAAGGAGCACTAAGTTGCGGTGCAGGATCAATGCATTGTCGTACTATTGGCCAAATGAACCTGGCAACTGCGCAAGTGCGGTTGGTCATCTGATGGAAACCACCAGGCTTGGCAAGAACGTGTATGCATATGGTCCGATGTAAGACTGCAGCCATGCAACCGTTACGGGTATGAGTGCTCAAGTGATTCGCAGTTGTCGCGGTATTAGGGTAGAAGGATCAGCAGGAGGCTGACGCCAGCCCGGGACTCTAAAGTTCCATGTGATGCGGTAGAGCGCGAATTATTTGACCAATTGAGTCTTTTGTATCTGCAAAAATAACTCAAGCTTTCTTCAAAAGACGCTTGAGTAGATTCTTGCTCGATGATGATGAACCTGTAGAAGCCTACGTTAGAATCCCACTTCCTAGAGAGTTATGGAGGCCAGGCGAGCACGATCAAAGTAACTGGCAGACCATACGAGCCCGATGGTAATGAGATAGGGGGAGGGCTCGAGGGAGGATAGACTGCAATAAGTTAGACGACTTACCAGAGATGTCGCCATTGGCTTCGTTCTTCTCCTTGGACATCACAGGAACGCCGTCCTTGTCGACGAGTGTTGACTCTGAGGACATGGCGCCAACAGTTGCTCGTGGTGCCGGCGCAGGCTGGCGAGGCCTACGAGGCATGGCAGAAGCCTGCATGTGAGGGATCACAAAAGCTGATTCGTAGAAGGAGCCAGACATCGTGCTGTTGTTGTTCTTGTTGTTACTTGTCTTGCTGTTGTCTGTCTTGTCCCGGAGGATGGCCTTGAGGTATTGTTGAGATTCGATGGAAGTCATGTGGAGGAAGGGGAGTAGTAGTAATAATAGAACGGAGAAGTGGTTGACTTGATGGTTCTTTGAGGTATCGTCACTGGATTTGTAATGTACTCAATGTCGTGCTTGGTTTTGCTTGCTAATATACGGTCTAGATCTAAGACCCTGGGAAGGAGGTCGTGGGCCGCGTCTTTTATACATCACGAGCCTGATGTTGATTTCCAATGCAAACGCGGCTTCGGCAAGGCCAGTCCCCATTTGACTCACTCAATGGCACGAATGCACGTCCAATGTACATGGCATCATGTCAAAGGGCGCGGTTTGTGAGTCGTAGGTCAAAAATGTTCACATTGGTACAAGTCTTGTCAGTGCTAGTGTCTGTTTTCGACGGGGGGTCAGACGGGGGGATCGTTGCCGAAGTGGAGGTGCCCGCCGGCTCTCCGACCTAGGAGGGAGATTCCTAAAACCAATCACGCCTCGTTCCCAATCCTCGGGGCTGAAAGTTGCATCTTTTGGTTGGTGAGGCCCTTGGCGGAGAGGCTTGCACGGCCAGTCGTTTTGGGCTAGACCTGCACGACCAGTCACTTTCAACTTCAGGTTTTGTTCGTTGTTCGGTCAGTCAAGTCGGGCTAGAGGGTGGAGGTCCTGAAGGAGTCAAAAGATGAGAATTTAGTCATCGTGCGACGGCTGGAGGAGGTGGGGACCAACGGGCTGAGAGGGTTCCACTTCCGAAGCCGACTCCAACCGCCCGTGTCCCCGAAGCCGAAGCCGAGATCTCACATCACCAACTTCATGCGGTCAACAGTCGAGCCGATGCCGTGCTGCTGGTGATAATTCCCAATTCACTTCCCGAAGTTTCTCTTACGAAACATTCAACCTTGTATTACGGGGAACATTGTGGGCTTCCGATCGTCTGAGCAAAGGACGAGAATTCTTGTCTTCCCCCAGATGGATTCAACGCAAACACCACCCCGGCTCTTACTCCGAAAGAACGGGCGGCCGCAGGCGTGTGAGCCGTGCCGAAAGCGCAAAGTTGCTTGCGATCACGCGCAACCAATATGCAATAGATGCAGAAAGTCGAAGCGTCCCGGGGAGGTGTGCGAGTACATCCTCGGTGACAGTCCAGCAACATCAAGAGAAACTCCAAGGCAGACCCGGCCGCGAGAGCAACGTCGTGCTTCCAGAGCGCCGTCTATTCCCCTGACTTCGAATTTTCAGCCCACCGTCATCCCGATATCGCAATTAAGTCCAAGACCAACGGCGCTTTCGCGGACAGCATCAACAGCAACGGCCACAACCTCGCCCGCGACATCCACGACCCGGAACCGCCCCTCGATCCCCGCAAGTCTCCCCACCAGCCCGGACTCGGCCGGCACGGCAGCCACTCCGGCCGTCACACCGGCGGTCCTCGGCATCGGCTACCTCGGCTTCACCTCCTTCTGCGGCATCTACGAAGAGACTCGCTCAAGTCTGAAGCAGCTCCAGCCCTCCAGCGCGGCGCCCATCGGAGAGATTGGGACCACGGCTTACTGCGGGCTCGAGTGCTCTCCGCCCCTGACGGCACAGGCGCTCGAAACATGCCTGATTATCCTCCGCCACGTCCCGGACCGCGAGACGGGGCTCAAGCTGTTCGACAGCCACCTGAACCCGAGCGACGGGTGGATCCGCCTGGCGGCAAAACACATGATGATATCGCTGTACGACACCTTTCCGCAGTACTTTCCCACCAGCGAACAGGGACAACGGCCAGATGATGCCCAGCTTACCGCACTCGCACGTACCATCTGCGGAAACACCGCAAAGTGCGTGTCTGACGAGGAGTCGGACCCGGCCAAGTGGATGGCGCAGTTCACCGGCACCAATTTGCGATGGGAGTCGTTGGGCGTGATGTTTGCGTACTGGGAGCTGGCGGCTCGCTATCTCGGACCGTACCGGCCGGACGTCGGCTCCCGGTTTCAGTGCGTAGATGAAGGGACGAAGGTGGTCATGCAGTATCGGTATTGCCTTGGTGCTTGCATAGAGTTGACCAAGGCTGCCGGTAGCGGGGGAAATACACTGCTCCTTTTCATGTGTTCGAAGCGGACCATCATCGAATCGCTCTTCTCGGGCGATGCCAGTAAGTCGCGTCTTTCACGTCTTTGATTTAACCGTCGGAGGCTGTTTTAATGCCTATCAATGGAGTGAACAGTGTTCTTAATCTCTGCGGGGATGCCTACTAACGCTTCATCTCAGGCTTCGCTTGCTGGCAACTCCACGCGGAGACAGTAGCCCTATCAACATTCCTCGGCTTCCACGACGAAGTCGCAGCGGCGCCGGGGATAGGCTACAAGCCGACCGTCTGCTCCGAGATCAAGCGCAAACTCTTCTCCTACGTCTTCTACGTAGACAAGGTCCTGGCCTCGTTCGCCGGCCGCCCACCCCTCATCAGCCGCCGGTACGCGCGCACTCCTCCTCCCCTGGACCTGAAGGACGACCACCTCCTCTCCGACGAAGCATCGCTGGCGCGCCACGTGGCCGCGCTCGATGAAAACGAGTGGAATACCAAAGGCGAGCTTTACTCTGCCACCATCGTCCGGGCCCGGGTGATGCTGGCACATATCCGGGACGAAATATTCGAGATCGCTCTCGGCCAGGGCTCCGTGACGTTGGTCGAGACGTTGTTGTGAGTGATGATCGTGGCAGTTGTAATACGTAACTGCCTATCTGGAATACATGATTGCGTTGCTGATATGCACCCTTCAGAGAAATCAAAGAACGACAACTTCGGACCGTCGCCGGGTTCCCTGATATTCTGACCCTGAAAGAAGAAGACGTGCAGAACAGGAAACTCGACATCTCGTTGCTGTACACCCGACTTATCATCAAGCTGGAACACCTCCAAAACATGTTCTTCATCGAGCGTCTGCTCGCGAAAAGAGGCCACGACGACGGCGCCTTGCTGTCCGTCAGCTTCGAAATGGTTTCCAAGACCCTCATGTTCTGGACAAACATGGATCGTCTATCTTGCATGAACGGCGACTTTGAATGGCTCGTACGTATCCAAGACTCTGAACTACCTTGCCTCTTTCAACACCTTATACCCTTGAAAACAAAACACAGAGAAAGACTTACAAAATCACCAGGTAATGGCCTACGCGGCGCCCGGAGGCGGCATCCTCTGCATGGAACTCCTAAAACCCACCCTCCAAGGCGGCCACCACCCGCAGAACCCCCAAGTCTCCCGCTCGAGCATCATCCAGAAGCTGAGCCTCCTCGTCGGCTTCCTGGACTGGGTCAGCCCCACGGCGCCCAACGGCGACCTCTGCGCCGACTGCAAGGTCATCATCCAGCGCGTCCTCGACCAGGCGCTCAACAGCCCCGCAGCGTCGGCCTCGTCTGCCGTCGACGGCGGGTTGTCCGCCGGGGTGATGCTGGATGTCCCCATGGACTGGGATTTCTCTACGCAGCTTGATTTCAACTTTGATTTGCTCGATACGTTTGATTGGTTGCGTCCCGAGGTGTCTTCGAGTCAACAGTCGTCGTAGTGGCTCCTTTGGGGGTGGAAGAGTTCGTGTTGGCTGTTGGAGCTTGCATTCTGTTTTCCTCTTTCCACGTCTATACCCAGGTTTTCACATCTTAGCTATTATTGCATCAACTACTAGATGGCGTCGGAATATCTATCTCCAGTCTTTCTCTAATTCTACCTTATTTCGATGTCATTCAGAGACAGATTCGAGGGAAATAGGGTCAGCTCAATGCTACTCAACTAAGTGTTCTCCATCAGGAAAGGACGTAAATACATATTGCCGCCGTCTCGAAGTTGAAGGGATAGAATGCATAAAGTAAATTGACTGCCATAATCGGCCTTGAGGCTTTCATATCTCCGTCAAACCTATTTCCTCGACAATTACGGTTCCACGTTCTGAACGCGCAACTGCTTAAACACCATACTGCTTCGAGATATGCTATGAAAATGGAATGTCTCCCAATCAGCAGAGACATAGATCGTGGCCAAGCTAGGGGCTGCTGGTCAAGTCACCTTGCGGTTGAGGCACCACTTCTTACGTGTCTATCAACTGTGCGTTGATAAAAGGCCAGGCCATCGATGTAGTATAGCACAACGGCGAGATAGACCTTTGTTTGGAGCATCTGCATCTAGGGAAAGGCTCAATACGATGAGCGATCATGCTACCACTCGAAAAAGAGAAAACTCTCATGCAGCACGACTGCCGTCGTCGGACCAAAGCAATAACCCCCGTGATCGCGGTCCAAGCAATCATGGACTAGATCCCCAACATGCGCAAGAAATCGCCAACCAGCTTCCCATCTACACTGGCGAATTCTACGTGAGACCTGTCACAGCCACGACAGGCCGGTACCACAGGGCCGTCACATCATATCTGGAAAATTCGCCAGGGTAGCCGCCGCTAAGCGATTCATCGGATCCCAGCCGATTCATATCCCACTCCATCCAAACGAGATCTCGAAACGTTTAAGCTATCGAAAAAAAAAGCACCGGGCCGGCCCTTGCTGCCGCTTCGTAGAGCGCAATGCCACGAGGACCTTCCCACCTTGATTCTAGTGCGGTTCCCTTGCCCATGTCGTCACTAGGCACCTACCCAAGCCATGCGTGCCATCAGAGTCCCGGGCTGGTCATCTCGGCTCCGGGGAGAGCCGCCACTGATCACCGGTTGGAAAAAAGGTTGGCCCAGAAGAAGTGGAGTTTTAGCGTATTTTTCTTGTAGCCGAGAAGCACACATACGCGAGAAATCGCCACTTCAACCAAGACGTCACTCGACTCGACTGCGCGGAGAATTCCCATGTTGCAGCGTGGCCCCCGACAGTGATCCATCGTGCCATCATAGCTCTTGCACGGAATCGATGGGCATTTCTCAGCATCAGGCTGGTACATACGTCTGGTGGCCTGGTCAAGCTGATACGGTAGAATCAACAACTGCGCAAGGAAAAGATCGCTCGACTATAACTGCCTGCCAGTAGTTAGAAAAGACGTCTGAATGATGGCACACTCGCTCATCGAGATTGCCTAGACTTTTCAGACGTAGAGTAGCCACATGGCGAACCGGAAATAGCAGGTAAACGCTATGGATATTCATGATACCGCACTTGATTGGCATCGGCTATAAACATGACGGATGCATTGCCTAGGCTCCAGAGACCTGGTTCGGAGGTAATTGAAACTGAGGATGCCATAGGACGGTTGGGCGATGATCGTCGGGGACGATCCTTCTGCTTTATTTCTTTTCTTTTTCCGGACATGCACATCTGGGGCCTAGGCCCATCATCGAACTTTCAGTCGTATCAGGCTGGATAATCAGACTAGAATGCATGGGAGGCAGGCGCCAGAGAGCAATCTCTTAGAAAGACCGCGAATAGCGAATGCGCATGCGTTTATCGATTATAAGAGGTTGAGAGGAGGTAGGTGAGGAATACCGCACTCCTAGCCACCGCACCCCAGGCATGATAACAAACCAGTGTCTGAGCTCTGAAAACGTTCTTTGGCTAACCTCGCCAGGCTGGCGACGCACCGTGAACGCATTCAATGCCGACAAAAATTGAAGATTGAAGTCTACCAGACAATGTGCGGGTTAATGGAGGCTAGAATCTGCGCTAGTGACGTGTAGGAGAGTCGGTCACGGTCGAGACTTCTTCTGCCAACCTGTTCGCATGCCAGGCACGGGCGAGTCCTTGCAGCAGCGTTAAGTCTAAGACCTGCAGACAGGGATAGGTAAGTAGGTAAGCACGCAGTCGGTGAAAACAATCAGGCTCTTGAAAACACCGTAGCGTGGCGAGCACGCAGTGACGTGCGTGGCATGGAGAACTTGAAGTCTGGAATGAAAGTCGTTGTCGTTGGAAAATGTGAGACAACGATATTTCCTAGGTCGGCTTCGCAACCCCGATCCGGATGTCGATGAAATGTGGGACGGGGAGTCCGAGTCCGGTACCTCACCCGGGTGTCACCGGGGATAGGCGGGCCTAGAATTTCGGGGCGGGAATGAGACTTCGTTCGACAAGCTGCGGCCCGGCAGAGCAATATGAGTCGGATGGATTCGATGGTTAAGAATGCTCTACAGCACCTGCATCGACGGCATGGTATAGGTGTCATATTCTGTGAGCAAGCAGCAAGATCCGCTGCACAGAGCCGATTCGAGATCGGCTTCCTTCGCAAAGGCAATTCCTTCCTCATAGTCTAGGCCCCTCGTGTAGCATTTGGTATTGAGTGTAGGTTTCCGATACCAGCCTTGCCGCTACTCATTTGCATCGCGAGGCATGCTGTAGCGCGCCGCTTGTCGCATTCAAAGTTCTGGAAGAAGAAACGACATCCACGTTGAAAACGTGAAACCCGCGACTGCAGTGCAACAGTAGGTGTTCGCAGGTCTGACGGCGGGGCGCCGTTTGCTTAAGAGCCAAGCACTAAGCCAACGCACGTTTTGTGGTGGAGGAATCTCCGACACGATTGCCGGTTCAGGATCAAGGGCCTAGAATGGGAGCACAAATCGGTGCTGTCGGAAAAGCCGTAACCAAGCAGAGCGTGGCATTTCTACATATCACAGTGCCACCAACGCAGATACCCGGTCCGATCCATCGGTATGGCTCTCTGAGCATCGAGCCCGCAGATCGAGGGTTGGCGCGGAGGCCGTCATTGGCTAAGTAATCTGGGGGGTTTCGGCGCAGCACTGTCTGCCAGGCTGAGGAAGCGCGGTTGGCTTGTCAATGTCCATCACAATTACTCTCCGTTTGCCAGAACTTGCACGAGCTCGCAACTTCCTGGAGCTGTGATGCCGGGCGGCCAAGCTCTGAACGCAGATCGAGTTGAAGGGAGTCGTCGCCCTGGCCAGGGGTTCAAGTTCCGGCACCTAGTTGTGTATCAGCCCCGGACCATTTCATTGGAGGTAATGTGTGAACAAGGCAAGGCAAATTTAGCCTTTGGCGCACGCGGGAGCAGAGGCCGGGTGCCGCTTGGGAGCTATCGCGAAGTGCGGCTTTCTAGCAGACGAGTTTTGGAATCTCCCTCGGAAAATGGTTGAATTTCTTTTTCCTCTTATGACTCGACTTGACCACGGCCGGTGTTATGCAATCCGAATGGCGTATCTTTACGCTCAATCATACAAGTATCGGGTTGGGAACGACGTGCACCTTGACGAACAAGTGAAGAGTCTCGTACGCATGCATGATACGCCAGCGAGTTTTAGCTCAGAAAAACACTGGAGCTGGCACCCTGGTTCAGCTGGAGGTTGGTGTGATGTTGACGAATAACAGTGCATCTTTGAGGTGTTGAAGCTTGTCGAAACAGGGTGCCCAGCTGCACTTTCATTCAGCTGAGCGACTCAAGGTAGGATTTCAAAGTATCAACCAACAATCCGTCTCTTTTGAAATTAGCTCTCTAGAGGGAGGGAGAGAGAGGGGCGTAGGCACGGTAAGGCAGGCAAGTACCAAAGCTTCCAAATAAGTTGTGCGCGAAATAAGTGCCGCGCAGACTGCAGTGTTGAAACCGTGAGTTAAACCGGAGACTGACTCGATAGCGTTCACGAAGGCGCTGAAGCTTGCGAAGAGTCTGGAGCCTGGAGCCTGGAGCCTGGAGGCTCTGCTCTCGTACCGAGCTGTCATTCCCAATCCATCAATGGATCGGCCGAGTGGCTGTGGCGTGTAGTGGGCGTGTGTCCGTAGTAGGGGGCGGCGGCGGCGGCGATGGCGGCGGCACCAAAGCCAAAGACAGAGTCTGGGAACAAAGCGGGAACATTTGGTGGTGTCCGATGATTCATCATATTCCCAGGTGGAAGCCGCAATCCGCTCCGAGCTCCAAGGTCATTGCGACCTGCATTGACAGGCAGGGAGGTGGATTGAAGATGGGTTTGCGCTCTGCCCGCGATGCTCGGTTGCTGCAGCTTGACACACGACGATGGCATCGATCGGGTGGTTCTTCTTTTTGCTGATGGAGTCCGATGGATCAGGGGACATCGTGGATGGGAATCTGCGTCGGCGAACACAGCGAGATGGCCAAGGGTGTTGAATTTGGTAAGCTCTTTCGGCAGCCTTAACGGCGCGTTCCCATGCAGTGCCATGCCAGGGGCGATGCGGCTGGGAGTTCCGGGACTCGGGGGTATGTATTCGTATCCCATTGCTGTCCAAGGCAAAGTAGAATTCGATGAATCAGAGATGTGACAAAGGCGAGCAGCAGGAATATCCGTAGGAACGTGAGGTAAGCAAGTGAGGTGTGAGGTGTGAGGTTACTGGGAGTGCTGGGAGTGCTGGGCTTGTCGGTGGCCTGAGGGTGTGTGGTCCCCTGGTACCTTAGGGCAGCATATAAAGTACGTACCGACACAGTAAGGTACGTAGAGATGATCCCCACTAAAACTAGTCCCATGGATCCGTCCGGGTGGACTCGATCGCTGGAACCCCGGACTTTATCTCTGCATCAGAAGTACCTCTCGATCTCGGTGCACTGCTATCCATCTTTCCCATGCCCTCACCATCGCCATGCAATCCTGCGGCCCTTTCTGCTCGCTTCTTGCTATGTGCCGGTACCAGTGCGTTCCCCGTGCCACGTCTCGGCCTTTTCAACCATGGAAATTGCCTCCCATCCTTACGCAATATGTGTGAACTGTCAGATTCTAGGTATCTTATCACTTCTGTCTATGGTCGGGGAGTCGCGGAGTTGACCCCGGCAACCACCACCATGGCCGTCCTCCTTGCCTCATTCAGAATCGGCCGACAGGCAAGAACACCCTTCCAGTTCGCAGACAAACGTAGGCACCAATTGCTGTCGAGGCTCTCCTGTCTCTTGGATATGCATGGCAAATCCAAATCTGGCGGCCACCCGAACAGACTGGGAAGGGGGTGGCCGGGGGGGCCCAGGCCCGGAGGGATCATAAAATTTCAGGGTCCAATGTGACTTAGTCTGTCTGCTCGCCATTCGAGGAGGAGAACATTGAGAGGAGGCGTCATGACTACTCTAAGCCATCGGCGGTTTGTCCGTGCAAACTGATTGGATCTTTTACAATTCTCTTTTTCCGACGACGTTCCATTCCATCCATGTCTTCTTTACGTACCTGACTGCGTACAACCTGCCGTCCTTCAGTCTGTTCGGTATTACTTCATCGATCTCGCTGGATCAAATCTCGGGATAACAGTAACTATCCTACGATCAAGCCTACCGTCAACTTTCTTCCTTCTAGCACGCGGTGCCTATCTCACTGCATAGTACTCCACCCCTTTAGCGAGCTTGCGTCGTGAACCTTCCGGGTTCAGCTCAGTTGGGACGGTGGCTCGACCCTGCATTGTGTCCCAGTGTTCATCAAGAACTGCGTAAACGACTCTCTGCAGTGCTCCGGCCAGCTAGAACTCTCGAGTAAAACGCCCCGGGACTTTGTTGCTCATCTGGACAAAAAACTCTGCCCTTCTTACCCGAACCAGAGGCGGCTCCGTTCCTGACCGTACTTTGTTATTACAAAGAGACAGATCGTCCTTCCCCCTTCTCTCTTTCTGGCCACTCCATACACTTCCTTTACTTTCCCATTTCACTCCCGATCATCTAACCTAAAAGTCGATGCCGTAGCTCTCTGGCAGCCTCATCATCCGACCACCCTACCATCGCATCGCGGCAGGACCCCTGGACTAGCGGCTGCTGCGTCATTCTCTCTTCGGCCCCGACCTAACCTCATCTTCCCTTCCACTCCCAGGCCCCCCTTCTCTTGAGAGACCCAGACTCCAAGGTTTCTCCTAGCTTGTTCCTTGCCCTAAGGGGAACCCTGTCTCCCGCTCCTCGCCTACTCTTCCCTTCCAGTCAACCTCCCCCTTCTATCTACTACCTATTTGCAACTCGCCCGCAAATCATCTTTGCACTTTCTGTGGCGACTCCAAGACTAGTCTCTTTCCCAGCTGGTCGGGAGCTAAAGCAGATCTAACGGCTTCTCTTACGCCATGACTTTGGTTTAGACTCCTACCAACGCAAACTTGTCTTAACCCACTCCCTCGCTCTTCAGAATAGCCATCCGAGGCACTATTTCCTGATTTCTCTCTTGCCAACCAACCTTAGTCTCAACACAAACGAACACTCCATCAAATCACAAAACCAAAAACAGTGTCTATTTGACACTGCAACGAAAGAACTCGACTTTACTATCTCGGCTTTTACTAGAAAGCAATATTCGACGAACATCCATCACGATGGCGGCGTCCAATATCCTCATCTACCTGCTCCGGCACGATCTTCGCATTGCGGATAATCCTATCCTTCACCATCTCGTGACCGCGTCTGACCACGGATTCACACATGTTCTCCCTGTCTACGTATTCCCGGCACACCAGATCGAGATTTCCGGCCTCTTGCGCGAAGGAAGCAAGTCCCCCTACCCAGAAGCTCGCAGCGAGATTGGCAAGTTCTGGCGGTGTGGACCTCATCGAACAAAATTCATCGCTCAGTCTGTTTGGAACGTCAAGGAATCCCTCGAAGGCGTAGGAAGTGGCCTGGCTTTACGCGCAGGCAGGTTCGGTGATGTCGTTGGCGACCTCCTTCAAGGATTCGCAGACAAACGTCAAAAGGTTGGAGCGGTCTGGATGGTCGAGGAAGAAGCCATCGAAGAGAAGAAGGATGAGAAGGCAGTGGCCAAAGCCTGCGAGAAGCACGGTGTTGAATTCAAAACCTGGCTGGACGAGAAGTACTTCATTGACGAGTAAGTGTATCCCCCACCCAGACATTATCAGCCTAACGATCCTCCCTCCAACAGCCGCGACCTCGGCTTCAAAACTCCCAGCGACCTCGCAGACGTTTTCACCGCCTTCAGAAAGACCCAAGAGCCGCTCCGCGAGAAACCGAGACCCACGCTGGCCCGCCCTGCAAAGGGATCCCTTCCGCCTTTCCCTGAGCAGTCCGCTATCCCTCCCCAACCAGCACCATTCCAGATTCCATCCACCTACGATGCCCTAGAGTCCGGTCTTCTTAAACCTTTGAAGTGTCCCTTCGAGCAAGAGCCAAAGTTTCCGGAGAAGGCGACTTCAGTTCATCCCTTCAGCGGTGGCGAGGATGTCGGTATTGACCGTCTGGATCACCTTGTGAAGACAGGTGCCATGTCTAGCTACAAAGACACTCGTAACGGTCTCCTCGGAGTCGACTTCAGCACCAAACTTTCAGCTTACCTATCATTGGGATGCTTGACGGGCCGCCAGATCCATGAGGCTTTGGTCAAGTTTGAAGATGGACAGGATGCCAAGTTCAAAGACACACCTGGGTACGGAAAGGGAGAAAACGACGGAACCAAGGCTGTGCGATTCGAACTTCTGTGGCGTGACTACATGCGCCTTTGCACAAAGAAGTTTAGAGGACAGCTTTTCCGCGTGACTGGATTCAAGGCCGACAAGACGCCTAAGTGGAAGTCTGCGGACCCTGAGCACGTGGTTTCTGACGACAACCTTGGTGCTTCGCCGGACGATATTCAAAAGACCCTGAACAGGTTCCTTGAGGGAACCACCGGCATGGGGTTGATTGATGCTTCGCAACGCGAGCTGTACCATACTGGCTACACTTCTAACAGAGCTCGTCAAAATGTGGCTTCCTTTTTGACCAAGCATCTCGGTATCGACTGGCGGTACGGAGCCGAATGGTACGAATATCTTCTTGTTGACTACGATGTTAGCTCGAATTGGTCCAACTGGCAGTACGTTGCTGGTGTCGGCAATGACCCTCGCGGTGACAACAGAATCTTCAACCCTGTCAAGCAAGCTTTCGACTATGACAAAGATGGAGAGTACGTCAAAGCTTGGGTCGTAGAAACTCGAAAGGTTGGAAAGTTGGAGAATGTGTTCCAACTCTGGACTACACCGGCGGATGAGCTTGAACGTCTCGGTTTGAACAACAACATCATGATCACAAACCCCATCAAGAAGATTGACTTCTCGGTGGAAGGGAAACCAAAGACTGGCAGGAGGCAGTATAACAATCGTCGAAGGGGTCGAGGTAATTCTCATCAGAGTAATGGGTCCAACGGTGGGCCATCACGTGGACCTCCACCAGGATCAGGAAGCTCTAACGGAGGCCACGGTCACTCGAATGGTGCTTCAGATCAAGGTTCGACAGGCCACTCTTCATCTAGGTCGCCACCCAATGGCCCTCAGGGGTACCGTACCACCAGAGGAAACGGCGGGTTCCGTGGCGATTCCCGCGGTGGCTACCGTGGCGGACGGGGCGGACGCGGTGGAGGTGATGGCAGCAACGGTGGAAGTGGAGGAGGCTACCGAGGTGGTCGTGGGTCGTTTGGAGGTGGCAGGGGAGGAGGCTTCAACACCTACCACATTGCCAACATGTACCCCTTGGCAAACAATCAGCCGCGGCCACAGTGGACAACAGCGGCGTCTTTACAACAGTCGTAGGTCCTCTGTAGGTGCAGGAGGAGGGTTCGCGGCAGAGATGGGGAGCGGTATTGGCAACTTGACCCCCATCGCTGCCGATCGCTGCCCATCATTGCCCGTCGCCGCTAAACCGACACCATTGAGCTCATGTTCTTCAACAACATACTGGTACCTCTGGCAGGTGTTTTACGGTTACGAAATAATAACCGACCACATTGATACACACTGGGTAAAGCACGAACGATGGAGAGAAGGATCATGCTTTGGTAAAGCGCGGTATGAGACGTGACACGACTTTGTAGAGGTGTTTCCAGAGAACTCCTAATGGATGGGAACAAGGTATTGTGAAGTGGTTGGGAACTTGATCCCGCAGCGGAAAGCCTTACAATCGCTCGCAACGGTGGGCCTATACAGGCAGTGTATAATACGCACGCGCGAAACGTGCCTAGCGCTTTCTCACTTATGTATAAATTGGTATTTTGGACCGTTGCATTCCCCCTGTGCAATCTCGTGGACTGGGTTGATTACCAAAGTAACAAACAAATCACGCACGCCTGCTATCTGGAAGAAGAATTGTACCTGGCCAAGTACCGTGGTCGATAGTCTATGACCTCTAAAAGTCTGGTGTCTGTCTGGTGTCCCAAAGACTTCTGGTGTCTTTGAAGCTGTGTTTCCCATGGATAGAACACTAGTGTCACACACGATCGAGAAAGACATTTAGATAGCGAGCGTGTATACAGGGGGTCATAGTACACATAATTGTACCGGTTTGTGCAACCTGGATATTTCATTTGACCAAAGTACAGAAATGACGCGGGCCTCTCCACTTCAGTTTAACCCTCCCCCCCCCCCCTTCCTCGACCTCTGGAAGAACAGGGCTAAAAGAAATTCGACTATATATCCAGGTCGGAAGGTCCTTAGTGGACACGACACCACGCAGGCGAATCAAGGCCTTGCGACGTTAGTCTTTGTGAAGTGTCAGGGGGTGATAGAGGACGTTGGAATGATGGCTCTGGTATGTTGAACTGATTTTGAGGTATCACGAGTTTTGTCTATTTTGCTTCTTTTCTTGAGTTCCACATCTATCGATACATGTCACTTTTCAGTAACTTCTGGGCCCCCCCTTTTTCTCGGCCACAGCTTCAGGGCCAGAGGCAATTGAGATGCCATATATCCCTTTTTGCAACGCCACTGAATGCACGTTGATATCCCCCCTTACCATACCCTCCTCCTCGTCAAACAACAAACTCTACGTTTGACATTACCATCCATCCCCCCAGCTTAAAACCTCCCACCAAGAGGCTGCACCTCAATCCCCTTGGGCACTACAAAAAGCCCCTTGGCCTCAACGACAGTAGCCCCGTCCGGATCCTCCATCCGCCCAATAATCCACAGCTTGCGATCCGTCTTATCCTCCTCGTCGGGCCGCTCCTTCTGCCACTCCGGCAGCGCCTTCCCCACGCGAACGATGTACAGCATCCCGGGCGTCACAGGGACTTTGAAATCCATGGCCAGCTTCGCCGTGACGGCCGTGTTGGCCGTGAAATTCAGCGCCGCGAGCCGACCCATGGCCTCGTCCATGATGGTGGACAACATCCCGCCGTGCACGACGGACGGCCACCCCGACGTCCCCTGCCCGAACATGATGGCGAGGATGAGTTCGCCCGTGTACTTGTGCCGGAACACAATGTTGACCAGACCCAGTCCGTTGGGGTTATTCAGCGCGGGTCCCGCGCAGAGGTGGTGCGCCGTCCGCTCGGGGGAGAAGTCGCGGTAGGGTTCCCAGTTCTCCCAGTCCGAGGTCGGGAGCTGGGGGATCGGGTTCCCCGCGGCGCCGGGGTCGGTGTTGGGCGGCATGCTGGGGACGAGGGACTGCAGGATGGGGTAGTCTTCGATGGCCTGGAAGGTGGCGTGGGCGCGGAAGAGGGGGATCTGGTGCTCGTCTGCCTCGACGGGCGGGTAGAGAAAGGGGGCCGTGAAGCGGATTGTGGCGATTTGGTCGTCGGTGAGCTTGTAGCCTAGGGCGAAGAAGAAGAGGGCCCAGAGGGCGCGGCGGAGGAGGATTGAGCGGCGGGAGGGGCCGGCGGCGGAGGGGGCTGCTCCGACGGCAGGTGAGCCGGGAGGGCCGCCGGGTATGCCTCCTACTCCTCCTCCCGGTAGTGTTGACGGTGGTGTCGTCGAGAGGAGGGCTGTGATTTGTGCCGGGGTGAGGCGGGATAGGTTCGAGAGGGCGGCGTTGGCGGCGGCCTGCTGTTGTTGGGTTTGGAGAGGGGACTGCGTGATGGGAGGCGGCGGCGGCGGGCGCTGGGCTTGGAGGCGGGAGGAGGGCGTGGATGTGAAGGGTCGGAGGAAGGGTCGCGGCGCGATGCGGTGCGCGGGGATGAGGTCCCGGAGGAGACGGCGGGCGGGCGCTCTGGGTATCATTTTGAGAGGCTTGTCTGTCGAAGTTCTACGAATGGCGCATGCGGTGATTTGTAATGAGAGTGAGGTCTTTGAGCGACCGGCTCAATTGGGTTGGAAACGTGCTGGCTCTTGTTCCCCCTGGATGGGTCGAGGTGGGTGAAGAGGGAAACTTGGCGATTTGAGTAGTTGTCGATGGCGGCTCTATTTTTGGTGGAGACCTAGCTATCTTCGTTTGGGTCCCTGGTTTCTCGGTAAGCCTTCACAGCGACTCGGTGAGTCAGCCCAACATTCGGTGAAAGAGCTTGGGCCAGATGTCCCCACTGCAGGCCGCGCACGGATCCTCGCTTACATAGCTCCCTGGAGCAATCTGGATGGACCACGGAGCTTGACGTGATGTCACTGCTACGACGCTTCGATCGGACGGATCGATCCCTGTGGGGAACACGAAGCAATTGCATCTCATCGTGGACCTGGTATCGAAGAAAACGGCGTGGAAATTCCTTTTGCATCCTGGGTCACGTCTATGTCATACTGCTACCACTCCTATGGACGCCATGCTGTCTATTCGTAATGCCTCTATCAACGCCATCAAAAGGGGCCTGAGTGGGTAGAGGGAAAGAGGAGAAAGAGAGGAGGAACCAAACAAAAAGGCCAAACAGATCTAAGACGAGAATCCAACCCCCCCAAGTCCAGTTCTGGGTGCGGAATCATATCTAAGCGGCCATGAGTGTGCTCCAAGCAACCCAGATGCGACGCGACTTGGGCACCGTAGCTCGCCCACTCCCGTCCGCTGCAGCGCCGCCGTTGCGCATGAGGACCCGGCCAATTTCCATGTAGCTCTCCACGGCGACGACCATGGGGCCGCGCGCTTCCGAGGGAATCCACTTCATGGAGTCCCTCGCCTCCCCGTAGTGGTCAAAGGCCTTTGCGAGGATGCGACGGCGCACATTGCCGGCGCCTTCGCTGTTGGGGTTCGCGAGAACATCCTTGGGCGTCAGGCCCTCCTCCTTGAGCCAGGATGTGGGTAAATAGACGCGGCCAATCTTGGCATCTACTGCAATGTCGCGCGCAATGTTGACGAATTGCAGCGCAAGGCCCATTTGACGCGCTGTATTGCGGAGGTAGGCTTGCATGTAATCGGGCAGATTGTGCTGGCAGTGACGGAAAACCAGCTCAAGACAGGCCTGTCCGACGGTGCTGGCAACGCGAGCAGCGTAGAGCTCGAGATCCTCGGGATCCGTGATTGGGAAGGTGTCCTTGCTGAAGGAGAGATCCATCTCGAACCCCTTGAGCAGCTCGGCGAGGGGTTCGCGGGGTATGAGCGATGAGGGGAGGAGGTCCAGAGCCGACAGAGCTGAATCTGGAAAGTTCTCGGCAGCGTACTTCGCGGCGAGCGGCGCCGAGGTCGCGTCGGGGTCCTTGTAGAGCAGGCTTAGATGGCGGTCGAGTTTGGAGATCCAGGAAGCGGCCTCGTCAGGGGTCTCGGCATCGTCGACAAGATCGTCGGCTAGCCGGCAGTAGGAGTAGCTGCGGAGAGGAGCAGTTGGTCAGCGATATAGGGTTACATTTAGGTTTGGGGCGCTGGAACTCTACTTACAGCAGCGTCAGGTCGATGCGTAGGCGGCCTGGGAAGACGGAGCTGGCGAGATGGAAGCTACGACTCTTTCTGGCCAGTCTGGTGACCGCCTGGCGGATGCCCAAGATGCGCTCCATGTCGTACTGAGATGAGGGGAAAACACGAGCTCGAAGCAGTGACATGGACAGGGCGTCGGCGGGTTTGTCGAACTTGTCTGGGAATGCATCGCAGACGGCGACGGCCTTGTCAAAGGCTGCCACGCCAAAGACAATGAGCATGTTGGTGACAAGGAAGAAGGTCGCTTCTTCGATTTCGAGGCTGCCAAAGAGCTTTAGTTCGAGTTTTGTGCCACTCTCAATGGCCCAGGTGCCGCGGCCCAAGGCCATCTCGTCGACGACCCATAGATAGATGGTGGGCAGCAAGATGGGTAGAGCGGTGCAAGCCAATGGCAATGCCAAAATGAATTGCGCCGTGATAGTCCAGGTGAGAAGCGCAAAGGAGCATGCCCAGACCAAAATCAGGCCCAGGTAGGTGCCTTCACCCTCCTTGGCGATCAGCCATGCGCCCAAGACGACGCTGCTGAAGAGCGCTAGCTGGCCGAGAGGCTTCGCCGTTTTTATCCATTGCGGGAGCGTGGCGGGGGAGTTCAGGTACTGAGCATGAAGCACAGGCTTGTTGAGGATGATGTAGAGCTGAGCGGTAATGTAGGTTTGTATGACGAAGAAGAATAGCTCCTCGATTGGTATGTCATAGAGGGTTGGTCCCAACACTGCGCTTGGGGGATACGTCCAGATGCCGGTTCTGATCAGATACGAATCCCAGGGAATCGTGGCGGTAAAAGCAATTGTGACGATGAAGAGAGTCCTCACGACATCGAGGCGTGTAAATAGAGGGTATGAGATGAAAGTGAGTAGTCCCGCCAGAGGGATGGTGTACTTGACGTGCCTAGCAAGGGATGAGCAAAGCGTCGCTGAAGAACAGCTCAATGGCAAGATCACTTACACCAGCGCGTAGTCGTAACCCATCTTGAGAGGGCTGCAGAGTCTGGAAGCCGTGAAGAATCACGAGAATGAGCAGATTCTCATAGGGTATCGAAAAATTCAGGACACAGGCTCGGCGACAGTGAGGGTTGATAAGAATTGAGGCTTGTCTTTCGGCGGCTCCTGCCAGCGGCGCTCGCCCTGTCTAGAGTCCGTCCGACTCCGAAGCAGGCCAGATTGCAAGCTGTTCCTGCGGCTAGGTTGCACAAAAGAAAAGACGGCACCTTGGGGCGTGTGGAAGAGACGAAAGGTGAGGTGGGATTAGATCGGGCGGGTGTCAGCGCAATTATGACGGAGAGGTTAGCGCCAAGTAAGTAGGTAGGTAAGCTTGGTAGGCAAGTAAGGTAAGAGAAGGTGAGGTGAGACCCCACGTCGGCGTTGCAGCGTTACAACTTGCACCCGAATCTGCCCTGCCGTTTGTTTAATCGCGTCCACTTTGATTGTTCTGTTGAAGACGGAGTATACACCGTTGATGGCTGGACTTTGTATCCGTAACCCCAAGAGAATAACGGAAGCCGGTCGGCTAGTTCCCGGTGGGAGGAATGGTGAATTGCCCCGAGTGGAGTGGGACAGAAATCCGGGTTAGTTGTTGTCTCGCGGGCACGTTGCTCCGGCTGGTGTTTCCAGGCGGTGTTTTCTTGCTCGGGGCTCGGACTTTCTGAAGTTCAGAGATTCCAGACGAAGGCAACGAAGATGCTAAAGGTGCGGCCGGACTGTGGTGTAAGATGGACGTGGTGGCGCTTGCGAGGATCCTGTAGACAGAGCTTCTTTCCGGATCTGGTAAGACAATGCGCTGAACCAGGTGGGGGGAGGAGCTAGGTAGGGATGGAGCTTGAATTGGGATGAGATTGTTGAGGATCCAACGTGCAGCTACAGCTCCCTCTGGCGTCTTGGTCTTAGTGGAAGCTACACAGTCTGACTCTGACAGTGATTAATTCGGAATGGAAGCTCCAACTTCCAAGGTGGCTGGTCCGGCCCGGCGTGGTTGGTTGGCCGAGTCCGAAGGGAATTTGAAAAGTCTATGACGACCATATGCGCGTCCCAACATGGGATTTCGCATACAACCAGCCCACTTTCAGGTTCTGATCAGACCAGGGATTGATGGGCGGATAGTAAGCGGGCGCGAATCTAGTGGTTTTTTAGCCAGGTGGGAGAGGAGACACTAAATGTTTTCTGGACAAGAGAGCTCAAGCAGCAGAGAGAGATACGGCCATGTGTCAAACGTGGTGAGAAGGGGTGAGTAAGACAAGGCGGGATGGATGCTAGGTGCTTTGCCTTTCAGACGGGAACAATTTCACAGAGCCTGTTGGAGGCTGGATTTTGGAACACATGAATTGTTTGGGGGCCGGACAGATGAATGAGATCCAAGGTGATTCATCACCAACGTCTAATTGATGAAAAATGCCCACTCCGACTTACACACTTCACGGCAAATGGCAAGTCGGAAGACTAAAATGTTACAAATGTCCGAGTCCGCGAAGCTTGGCTCTATACTATACTCCATGATCCATCTAAAGCAGTAGCCGATGAAGCGGGATAAAAAACGATCGCGATCTGCGAATACGATATCAAATGTCTCAACAACCGTTTTGTTTGGTTGTACCTGTAGCTAAGGTGCTAAGGTACCCTATCAGCCTACCACCCTGTTTGTGCATGAGCTCTCTCACGCGGCACGCCCCTTGCTTTCGCACGCCTTATGCTCCCCCAAGCCAGTTGGCAGCTCACCTCAGCAAGGAACACAAAGATTGGGGTGAAGTTTGTGCGCCGTCCCGCCCGTCCTGTCTCTTCAACGTTCGTAAGCCAGGAGCTTCCTCCGAAGTCGAGGTGTCATCACTCTCCCAACTCGCACCCCCGAACCGGCCGGTGCGGAGCTCATCCTCGTGCGATTTCATTCCCACCCCCTGCATCTGCCGCTCCGTTGCTTTTGTGGATCCCATGGCATGCGAGGGGCAATTGGCCGCCGCCGTCTCTCTTCACATGCTTGCTGGAATGGCAGGATAATTATTCTAGTATGAATGTTGATCAACTTCCCTTGCGTCAATCTCCCATCTTCTGTTCACGTTTCCTCATTGCCTTGTGAGTTGGTGATAATCTCTCTGGGGCCTATTATAATCCCAGCCATACAACCTCGCGACAATCTCACAGGCATCACTTATAGCCGTACACCCAGCGCATCCATCTATAGACAACCCACCATATAATATAGCAATGCCTCAACTCGGGGAAAAGCCCAAGAAGGCCATCATCGTCGGCGCAGGCGCCGGCGGCGTAGCCCTCGCCGCCCGCCTCGCAAAGGCAGGCTTCTCCGTCACCGTCCTCGAAAAGAACTCCTTCACCGGCGGCCGCTGCTCCCTCATGCACCACGAGGGCCACCGCTTCGACCAGGGCCCGTCCCTCTTCCTCCTCCCCCAGCTCTTCCACGAGACCTTCCGGGATCTGGACACCACCATGGCCGACGCCGGCGTCGACCTGCTGCGCTGCGAGACGAACTACAACATTTGGTTCCACGACGGCGAGCTCTTCAAGCACTCGTCCGACCTCGCCGCCATGAAGACGCAAATCGAGCGCTGGGAGGGCAAAGACGGCTTCGAGCGGTATCTCAAGTGGCTCCGCGAGGCCCACACGCACTACGAGATCTCTGTCAAGGACGTGCTGCACCGGAATTTCGGCAAGTTTTTGGATCTCGCGAGGCCCGGGTTCGTCAGGCACGTCGTGAACCTGCACCCGCTGGAGAGCATCTGGAGCCGCGCGAGCAGGTACTTCTGGACCGAGAGGCTGCGGAGGGTGTTTACCTTCGCCGTCATGTACATGGGCATGTCGCCCTTCGACGCGCCCGCGACGTACTCTCTGCTCCAGTACACCGAGTTCGCCGAGGGCATCTGGTACCCCCGCGGCGGCTTCCACCAGGTCGTGGCGGCGCTGGTGCGCATCGGCGAGCGGCTGGGCGTCGACTACCGCCTCAACACGCCGGTATCCCGCGTCCTGACAGACGGCCAGAAGGCGACGGGCGTGGAGCTCGAGTCCGGCGAGTCCCTCACGGCAGACGTCGTCATCGTCAACGCCGACCTCGTCTACGCCTACGGCAACCTCCTCCCCAAGACCCCGACCATCACCGACTACACAAAATCTCTCCGCAAGAGGGAGGCCAGCTGCAGCTCCATCTCCTTTTACTGGTGCATGGACCGCAAGATCCCCGAGCTGTCCGTCCACAATATCTTCCTCGCCGAGGAGTACCAAGAGTCCTTTGACGCCATCTTCAAGCGCCACTCTCTCCCTAACCAGCCCAGCTTCTACGTCAACGTGCCTAGCAGGATCGACCCCTCGGCGGCGCCAGAGGGAAAGGACACTGTCATCGTCCTCGTGCCCGTCGGCCACCTTCAGGAGTCAAAGGGCGACGGGCCGGGGCTGACGTCGGACCCAAAGCACTGGGACGATATCGTCGCTCGCGCCCGCGCTGCTGTTGTAGAGATTGTGAGCGCCAGGACGGGATGCGCGCCTCTGACTGATTCCATTACACATGAGATTGTCAACACGCCCCTGACGTGGGAGGACAAGTTCAACCTCGACAAGGGTGCCATCTTGGGTTTGACGCATGGCATCTTCAACGTTCTTGCCTTCCGCCCGCGTACGCGCGCAGAGGGTTTGGAAAACGCGTATTTCGTCGGCGCCAGCACGCACCCTGGCACCGGCGTGCCCATTGTCATGGCTGGCGCCAAGATCACGGCTGAGCAGATTCTCGATGACCGGGGATTGGAAGTGCCCTGGGCCCGGGGCTTCGACGGTATTTTGAAGCCCCAGAGCCTGTCACCGGGCAACAAGAAGCTGGATAACGTGCGGTACGGATTCCACTTCGGATCCGAGGAAGTTGCTGTCTTGTCTGTCGGACTGGTTTTGGCTTTGATTTACTTTATCTTCTGGCCTACCGTACAACCATGGGTTTGCTAACTTTTCAATGTAAGCTAAGTATGAAAGGAACGACTTGTTTTTGGGAGCATCGTTTTGGGTAAAATAGACACCTCACTTCACAATACTGAATCGAATATATCGGTTCCGGATAGGTCCCACTCGCTCAAGTGACATTCCTCAATGATACTGTTCACAAACCCAATGGCGCTAACAAGACCTAGAGATCAGCCAGGCGCTGCCGCCGATGAGAGGCAGCTTGTTTCTCTGAACTCAACAAAGTCTACGAGTGCTTCACGGCTCATGAGGAGCCTCGAGGTTGTGACTTTTGGCTCGATTAGGTATTAGGAGACAACATATTATCACCCTCGGATAACGCGCTTAAAGATGACGGAAACGAAGGCAGGTAGACGTCTTCGACTGAACGGCCAAGTATATAAAGACGGCGCATGGCGCAGCTAGCTGGATCCAGAAGACCACGCCAGGAATCGAATGTGTAGTTCATCTTGCTGGGCCGCGATATCTCTGAAATTCCCGGTATTCTATAGTCGCTATAGTTTTTGTGGTCGATGCTACAGACCGCGAGGGTTCAGCACTTTCAGGATAAGCCTTTCTGACCAAGTTAGCACTCGCGTTCCTTTACCATATCCCGCAAGGTGTTCTTCTCGGAATACACTTAGGACGGTATTAGGAGCTGAGTACTGTTATATTCCTTCACCCCGCTCCCTTTAGGACTTATCTGACTGCATGTGCTGATATCAGACACCACGTCAGAGCGAGCTTGAGTCGAACAGTCGAAAGCAAGTAGTGGCAGTCCTTGGCATTCTTCTCGAAATGTCCCTGGTGTCCCGGGTCTTTCTAGATCTGCCCTGTCTTTTAAAGCCACGGGACCGCCCTTGAACTTACCCCCTACGGTTCCGGGCTCCGCACCTCTGATACCTGTACTCAGCGAAACGAGCTTGACCTTGAGCCCTTGCCTGAAGGCGAAGGGGCTGGACTCATGGACATTGAGCTCATCCCAATGGAACGGACTTGAGCTACAGCACGCAGGATCAATGGGAAGAAGCAGCGCTTTGAAGACTTGGAAAAAACATCGGCGCCCTCTACGAATAGCTTCTCAAGCAGCACCCCGCCGATGAACATCTCTCGCGAATGTGGGTTTTCAGGTCACAAGACACAACAAATTCAGATTGAGTAGCGTATATGCCCAAGATGTGAACCTGACGAGCATGGGCTTGGGTGGTAGTCTGGCCCTGCCGCAGCGGGTCAGATTCATACTCGCCTTATAGAAACGTTTAGTATCTCGTCAGAATGCTTGAAGGAAGGTGATGGCCTCAGAGGCTTCGTCAGTTAAAGATGCGCCTGAGTCCTGGAACTCACGGTCCTACAGAACAAAGCTGGATTAGACGTTCAAGGCAAAAGCCAAACAATCGACGAGTTGCGTGAGACCGCCGTCAGACCAAGTAGTCACGTAGCCCCCGCGGCATTAGCGAGTGGCTTACTTGAACAGCTCATGTAGCCGAGTTCATTCAGTGCGTAAGACCGCGGTATCGGGGTATATAACAAGTTGTCGCGTAACGACTCGTTCTTAAAAAAGCAACCAAATGAGTTGTTAGAGGATCAATAAACCAAATAGGACCAAACATGGTCTACCATTATGCACGTTTCGGAGAAACGACAGACTGATTGACTTTGTCTAAAGGCATGTTCTCGATACCGGCGATAGCCAAGGCCAGCTCTGACTATTCCATAGCTCGCTCGCCGCTACGCTCTACACCCTTCGTGGCACTATGTGGCACTTCTCGCAGTATGGAAAGGCTCGAATACACATGGGATACCAAAGAGAGTCTACAGCCATCGTCGTATTGGTACGATATCCCGCGATTTCTTTCACCTCAACGTCAGACCCAGGGTCTCATCAACAAGCTGCCGTTTTGCCGCAAAGCAACAGGGTGTAGACCTTTATGACTATCGCCGTAACCGTGTCTAAGACAGGCTTACTCGGCCCCTTGGATCCTCTCAGTCAGGCAGCAGTTTGCCTGTCTTATATACCTTTGAGGCTGTCCCAAACTCCGTACCGTGGACGTGGTCCGGCGGTGGGACTGCCGCCTCTAGACAACAACTGCAGATAACATGTAGCGATACCAAGGGGTCCTAAGGAGATCTTACTCAGCATTTGCTCACACGAATTCATATTCAAACACATCGTCCTAATCCTCTTCCTCTGATGTGAGGTTTCGACGTATGCCGAGAAACCGGGGTTGCTCATGGCGGGCGGACATACTCTCTCCGATGATGGTGTCCTCCGCCACATTAGGGAGTCTAGATGACTCCCTGGCGGCATCGTCCCTCATGCGTTAGGGACAGGGGATAGTCTCTTACGTGGTCTATCTGTGTGTGACGAGCGCCATGGGCGTACCAAGAGACCTATCAAGCAACTCTTCTCAGGCGACAAGGTCTGAATCTCTGCATTCATACCAAAGCTCACCTGAACTGACCCAATGTCGTGTTACAGTTCCATGAAGGCCATATCGGTGTCTTCTCGTTGTCCTCCAAGGGTCCAGTACCATGGCGACGAGTATTGGCAAGCATTGAAAATCGGAGCATGCCGAGGCGGCAGTCTATGTTTCGCAGTTGTAGAGCATAAGGGGAGTAGGAGGAATAACATGCATGCCACAGATGGACGCGCCTAAGGAAGTAGATGACACCAATACGCAAGGCGACTACCCATTCCGACGCGGTGCCATACAAGGCGAGTTGAATACCTTCACATCCAGCACCGTCGCATCACCTAAGGATCTCAGCGGCTCCCCAGACCCTCCCTACGTGGTACGGAACCCACACTGTGACTTGACAGAAGCTCATTGATCGTCATGAAAACCAGCCAAATGGCGGCTGCCTCTTCTTGGTACAACGCATAGAAGAGCCTCTCGCGACCCGCAGCATTCAGCCGCCCTCTCGCATCTTTGCTCCATGTTTCTCTTCCCTGAATACGAAAGATGCTCTCTCTCATCTCTGACCGCCTCTCGCCTGCGCCGCCGCATCGCGGTTGATAGCCTCCTCCCCAAGGACCTTACTCGCAGCCATGAACCTATCATCGAACCTCCGTCAGCAAAACGAAACTCATCGCCTCAAAAAGCGTCCAGAGCCCAATCCGTGCCGCGCGTGATGCCCGGTCTGGCATCATATCCATATGGGGATACTGCAACATCAAAGTAGAAGCAGAAAAAAGATAGGGCACATATGAAGAGAAGGAAGAAAAGTAAAACTCACATGCCGCCATGCCACGCCCCCAACCCCCGCATACTCTCAGCCTGAACGCTCGTCATACGAACCAGGTTCTCCGTATCGGAAAGATTAGCAGACAGCTGCGCCAGCTGTGAATGGAGGTGTGTCTGCGATATCGAGTCCAGTCAGCACGAAGAAGGTACATCTCGGAATCAATCTCCTCTCCGCCGAGCATCTCTTCGCCTCTCTCTCTTCCTCTGGCTTTCACGCCATCGCATCTCCCAGAGCAGAGATAGGAACAAACACCACAAGGGCAATAGACACTCACCAACTGCCGCGTCTTCATCGCGTTGCCGGAGCTAGACGCCATGGACGGTCTCGTCGTCTGACCCATGCTGATACTCCGTGACGCCATCCTTCTTACGACTTGTGTTCTGGCTCTTCTCAGTGCTCGTCCTACAAAACACGGGATCAGCTAGCAGTTCTGCAAGGACCCTCCTCGAAAACACTCCGGACCTCTCTTTCCATCTATCCCTATCGCTCTAGGACAAAGGTGAAGAAAAGGACTCATGAGCAAGCCCGCGGTCGATTCTCATCTCATGCAGACGTCCTCACCACGAAATACAATCGCAAAAAACCACTCACCTCTTGCACCACGCGTCGTCAAAAATCCGAAACAAACAACCAGCAGAGCCTCAACCCAAACTCAGAAAACCCGTCGGGCAGGTAAAGTAACGAATAAGGTAGTCGCCAAGAAACAATAAACAAGTGATAGTAGTAATCAATTCCTCTTCAGACGATTTCATGCAACCCCACTGCTTATTTTCCCTTCTACTCTCCTTCGTCCAAACACTTGTCTTATCTCGCGGCGGGAAGTTGGCGGTGGTAGTAATGGGTGGCGGGGAAGGATATCTTAACAGACGGCCGTTAATTCATGCCTTCTTCATTCACACTTCCCAAATGCTTGATTTTGTTTGGAGGGGACGGGATGTCGTCGGACGACGGAGGTGGGGTCGGAAGGCAGGACCCTCCCAGCAGAACAGAAAGTAAACAAAAATCTCGACTTCTGATTCGCGGGTCTGTTCGTCATTGAGTTTCTTGCAGGCACCGTGGCAGATGCCAGCTGCCAGATGAGAATACCTATGGTCCGTGCTCCGGCGCCCGTCACGGCGTCCCCAGCAGCAGCGCGATAAGATAAGATACCTAGGTAATGGAAGAGACAGCCCGACATCAAACACCCACGAATTGGAGACCTCACGCTCATTGAAGTGCACCTGCAAGGGCAAACACGGGATGGAAAAAAAAAAGAAAAAGAGTCTCGGGGTGGCTGTTCGCTTCCATGCATCTCTTCGCCAGGGCAGACTTTTGACTTTTTTTTCCATGTCCCGGATCTTCGGCACGGCACATTCTTCGAGGGGGAGGAAAAGCCCCCCCTTTGAGGTGCCCGGGAAAGAACCCCTCCATACCGAACATTCAAGCGTCGCTCCCTCGGTGAGCGGTGAGGGAGGGGACTTCCTACCTACCTTAGGTACCCGCCGTGGAAACAATCACATCATACCTACCTTACTTAGGTATTACGAGGTAAAACTACCTCACGTGTATCATATCATACCATCAGATCATGTCGCGTGCAGCCCTCAAACCCCAGAGGCACGCGTCACGTGTCAGCAACGCACTCTTTCTTTCCACGCCCCTTAGGTTCTCCTTCTCCTTTTTGTTTTCCTCGGCTTCGGGGACGCGGCGCCAGATGGTGGCTTTCGGCTGGCGCGTTCTCTTCTTCCCAGTGCCCCTTCCCGGCCTTCCCCTGAGGTCAGAGACGACGGTCTTAGTTCTGAATCAACCAACATGCCAGCGTCTCATCAGTCGCGCCTGAACCTCAAGCCCGCCACAAGCCTCGGCCGGGGGCGACGGAACTCCTGGGCATAGATCTAGGTACTCAACTTACTGCTTACTGCTTTGCTTACCTTATACTCAACCCACCTCGTCTGACAATGTTCAAGGGCCAAAGTATAATGCACGCACCCCTGGTGGAGAATCTTTCTAGACCTCACGTTTGTTTTCACGATGCCAAGTTTCGCACCTGTCTGGCTTCCATTGCGTTCAATTGAACTTCCCTAAAGAGGCTGCCTACTTGCCCGCCCCCTAAACTTTTACATCCGTACACACACCTCACCCCTTTCCTCCTCATCCCCATGGGTTGCGCCCGTCGTCGCCCTTCTCTCATCGTCGGGAAACTAAAAATTATGGAAAGCCAAAATCCCTTATCAAGAGAGGCTTCAGTCTGAGCGTGTCCCCCAATCGTTGTTTGCTGCCATGCAATGATATTGCCCATCTTTGTATTGCCGGTTCAAAAACCACCTCCGGCTCCTCCCCCTGTCTATGCTCGTTACTTGTAATCCCCTCGACGTACCTAGCCGTGGCTGTGCCTTGGCTGCAAAAAGAAATGTTTTTCGTAAAGGACAGACACAAAAGAAAAGGAAAGTGCCCGAGAAGGGGCGTTTCGTTTTTATACACATCCAACTTCTCGCTTTCGCCCAAGATGACTCGAGGATGGTCAGATCTCACGTCCCATCTTTTTGTCTTTGATCCGAGCCTCGGTGCGAGTTACAAGCCCGAAGCCATCGGGTTGCCGGGACGTCGTCTGCTATCCAACCTCCAACGCTGGTTCCCCTTTGCTGAACGAGAACATCGATGCCGTCCACGCCAATGCTGCTGCTATTACCAGAAGTCGAAGGGAATTGACCCCCATCGTCACAATGCCGTATGTACTGGACTTGCGTCCGATTGATGAGAAATGAGAAAAGTCGTCGAATTAACTATGTGTTGTGCCGCGAATGAAAGACCGGTTCCTGTCTAATCGTTTCGTGTCGTCATCGTGTTACCGCGCATCGATATGTGAGGAACTCCGGCAGAGTGACCTCTTGAGACCAACGGAATGCGATAGCAAGCCTGGGTCTATGAGTATGTAGAAGGATAGAGACGTAGTCGTCGAGTTCGTTTCGGATCGCATTCGGGCCAAGCAAGCTGATGTCGTTCCGTATCGCTGACCGCGACATCGTCAATGCCGTAGAGCGATCAAAGCAGCCTCGTGAGTGATGTTTACCGGACTCCTATAGCCGGTCTCGGCCCGAGACTGCTTTGGCTGCTGTGGGCGGAAGGCTCGGTGTCATTCTGTGATTCACCACTGCCCGCGCTGGCGCTCGCACTACCAGTCAGACTTCTCATGTTCTTCTGTTTAGGTGGAGGAACAAGACCGCTCACCCCGATATGTTGCTCAACCTGCTGTGGCGCGACTGCGTTACCATGGCCGGGAGGGTATCGGGGCACCGGCTGACGCATACCGTCAGGAGGAGACGGACGACCGTTCATCGGAGGGCCGTGATATCCATTGGGCGGCGACGGTCGGCCGCTGCCGCCCCGAATCGATGGACTGTAGGGGTTTCCGGGAGACTGGCTAGCTCGTCGCGGAAAGGCTCCGTTCATGCCCATGGCCATGGGGCCCCCGCCCATTTGCATCTCGTCCAGACGTGAGGCCGTCAGCGAGTTTGCTCTCGAGCCTGCCTGCATCGTACCTCTGTCAACGGCACCGTATCGATTCGATGAGTAGGAGAAGAGGGGGTCGTCTAGGATGTTCTCATTTGCAGCAGGGATACTAGCAATCTGGCTGGAACGATTGCGTCCAAAATTGGGGCGGAATCGGGAAGATCTGGCGGGCGGTGCTCCTCCGGCATCGTAAATCTCGTTCTTGTGGTACTGAGCACGGGTGGGCGGTGCTGCGGCTGCCGCCTTCCGATTCTTCCGTGAGGTAACGCTCATCATGTCAAAGTTATCGGGGTCGATCATTGGGGCCGGTGGTCCAGAGTTGGGGTCGAAGTAGTCGTCGTCGTCATCCTCCTCGTCGAAAACCTGAGCGCTGTTGCGCATGGGGTGCGGGCCTCGCCTTGGGGGAGGACCTCTAGATCTCATTCGCATCTCCCTCTCTCTCAGTGCCAGCTCTCTCTGACGCAACTCCATCTCACGCTCGCGAATAGCCAACTCGGAACCCTCAGGGCCATGGCTGTAACCAGGTTCTCCACCTTCCGGAATATCATCATACATCATGAGATGTGAGAACTCCTCCAAATCGTTTCCCTCCATAGACCCACGTCTCGAAGCAGCCCTAGATCCCGGGGGAGGCGGGCCACGAGGGAAGCCGTTGGGAGGGCCCCCGTTCATGGGGGGCCGACGCATACCGGGCGGTGGTCCTGGGCCCAAATTTGAGGAGTTGCGTGGGCGCGGTCCCCGGTTTGGTGGCATACCATTACCATTCATCATGGGTCGGGCACCATTTGCTGATGACATCCTCGGGAGGGGTGACTGAGACGTAGGTGAGCCGGGAGGTGCCATTGTTACATCGATAGGCTTTGGCGGTTTCTGGCGGTTGACAATATTAAGGTTATGCAGAATAGCGTAAAGCGACTCGATGCGAGGAACAGGGACGTGGGCCTCTTTGGCCAATTTTATCGGTGAGCCCAGATACGTCTCGACTTCCATCGGTCGCTTTGCGATGTAGTCTTGCCACATGATGCTCTCGGGGTTCGTGGGTTTCGTCATTTCGTCAATGGTCTTTTGTTTGAAGTCGGGAGATAACTTGCAGCCGTGTGCGTCTGCTAAAGCAAGCAACTCGTCGATTACACCGGTCACCATATCCTTGACACCAACCTTCTCAAGCAATTGGGCGTGGCTTGCTGTCTCGAAGATGACGCTGGCGGGGTGGAAAGCAATAGGTCTGTCGTCAGGTTAGCAAGACTGCCAAACGAAATCTATTCATATCCAAGCTTACCCAATGACCCGCTCATACTGCTGCTGACGAATGTTCTGGGAAACTTTACAGTCAACCTGGGCCGTGTTCAACGTCATCGCCAATGCCTCGGCCATATCACTCTGGATCGCGCGGGGAATGTTATCATTTTTGCAGGAGGGTCCAACCCAGATTTCTGTTGAGCCCTTGTGTTCGAATTCACTCTGTCCCAGTTGGGAGAGTTCGGCATTGGAAACCAGCGAAAGCACAACGTTGGTAGGGAATCGTTCCTCGATAGCGGCCTCGACACCGAGGGTATGCGTCGTGTTAACGAGAATGCACGTGTGCTGAGGGGTGACGACGGCGTCGATGACGGCGGCGAGGTCGTAGACGTCGGGGAGAGCCTTGATGCAAAGGATCACATAGTCAAATGGGCCACCGCCGTGTGCGGCTTCTTCGGGAACGCGTACAACTGCGGGTTCAGACTGTCAGCAATCTTCAAATTCTTCTGCCGACCAAGGTGGATTGGGAGCTTACCGTGTCGCGGCTTAAATCGTTCGTTGCCAAATATGGGAGACCTGCAAATGTTTGATTAGACGCGCGCCCGCAGGTCGCAGGAGAGGATAGGCGACGTACTTGAAGGAAATGCCGTATTGCGCAACGTGATCGAATCCCGACTTCCACACCAGTGTAACGTCGCAAGCATTCGTCGCTTGTAATCTCCATGATAGAAAGGCCGAAACTGGATTCCCTCCCACTACACAGGTTTTCATTAGCTCGCTGTCGTCGGCCATGCTGAAATACGGTCGACACGATGCAAGAGCACCGGTCCCTGGATTGGCGAGTACTGTGTATATTAAGAAGGAAAAAAAAAGAGAGGGGAAGAAAAACGAGTGTGGTCTGTGACGGGAAAGGTGTAATGGGGAGGAGAAAAGCCGGGCTGACGGATAGAGATAAAGGAACACAAAATTCCGATCCACACCGTCGCACTGATGCAAGAAGAAGCAATTACTGGAGCGAGCGGGCGGGAAGACTGGAAGCCAGGAAAGAAATGGGACGCACCTGAGAGGATCTTGAGCCGGGGCGTCATGGGTGCCATGATGGGCCCAATTGTGGATTAGCTGGTGGGCTGGGCCAAGTGGTCGCCTGTTGTACCCTCTGTACACCTCTTTTTCGCGACAACGCAGACGGCTTTTTGGGCCTTGTATAACGACGGCGAATGGAACAGCAACCAGCGTGTGGCTTCGTTCAATCGTCGATTGGAGTCGAACTAGGTGTAGCGACCTGTGTATCGCACACACAGAAGTGGTGGATTGTTCCTAACCTGATTCCCGTGTTCCAAAACCCCCTACTAGGCGTAGGCGACAGCAGGTCGGCAGGTGGGCGCGTCTGTGGGTGCGTCAGGCGTCAGACCCATTCGACGCTGGCAAGCGTATCGGGGCGTGGATTTGGAGCGACGAGGAAATGAAGCGATTCGGCGACGGGTCGTCAGTCTCTCTTGGTTCTGGTAGCCTAGTGGCGCAGGATCAAGGACCAAGGCTTCTCTCGATGCAGCAGAATTAACGAACGTGTCGCCTGTAGTGGCTAGTCGAAGTCGGGGGCGGCTGGTCGAGCTGAAGTGGGCTAACTGAATGGGCCCTGGGAAACGGCGAGACGATGCAACAACAAGAACAGCTGGCTTGGAGCACGGTCAAGATGATGATGCGAGGTCGATTGGTACTTGTCGACAGCTGGCGGCAAAGGTGAATGTGTGAGTGTGTATGTGCAAGCAACTTTCTGTCTATGTAACGAATGGATTGGCTGCCCCGAGGTGGTGTCGTGTTTCGAAGACTGGCCGGTCTTGGTTCTTTGGGGAGGACAGCGAACGGACGGGGGGCGTGATCGTCGAAAGGAGATGACGAGATTTAGGATTACAAGAAAGAAAAGGAGACGGGATAGGTAGAATTGAGCTCTGTCTGTCGTTCTTTTCGTAGGACAAACACGGTCTCTCGCTCGGTGCGAAAAAACAACGAGGATATGGAGGGAAGAGGTAAGGTAGAGAGGGTAGAGAGGGTAGAGAGGGTTGGAGAATTGGGACGGGATGATAGAAGGAGGGTGAGTGAGCCAGAGGTGGTGGAGAGAGCGGCAATGGCTGGAAGAGGCGTCTAAAAGTAAAGTAGGAGAGGCAGGTACCAAGGGACACGCGAGGTACCTCGGGCTGTGCGGGAGGTGTGTAAGAAGCGTGGTGCGTTTCGGGCAAAGACACCTCTGCGGATGCCAGCCAGGGAAGTCACGACTAGGTAAAAGGGAGGTAGGGGTGGGTTGTAGGGAGGTACGGTGACAGAGTTGGGATGATGGGATGAGGAGAGAGCCACGCGGTGCCAGCAGGAGCAGAGGGAAAGGAAGAAAAAAAAAAACAGTTTCCAGTGTGGCCGTGCCGTGCGTACGACGTACCTAAGTTACGGAAGTACGTGGGTGAATTTGGGGAGGAGATGGAGGATGAGGTGGGCGGCGTCTGCGGAAGGCAGGAGAAGGACGGAAGGGACAGGGGGGGTTCAGGGAGGACGGGCGTGGACCGTGAATGTAGGCGCCGGCGATGAGAGGATTGTCTCTTAATTACCTGCCTTACTGTAGGTACCTTAGGCAAAGATGCTTGACAAACTACCACAGTACTTTGCTTCTAATTGACTGGCGTCCAGTTCGGTAAACGTAAACAAATTCACTGAGACAGATCCAGACACACACAGCTACTTATCTTAGCAAAAAGAAGGAGAGAGAAACAGACTGAACGAGAGAAAGAGCGCAGAAAGAACTCTAGGAAAAGGGTACGGAGAGTGAGATGGAGACAAAAATATTGACATTTCTGGGCGTATGTCTCAGAGCGGATGGAAAAGAGAAATGGGACAGGCCGGGGTGGGCGAGTTCCTCACTCCAAGGCAGCGGTCCAGTCTCCAAGCAGTCACTTCACAGACAGAATCCCGGTCAGGCACCAGTTCACCGTTCTAAACGTGGACGGATGGGAGAAACTGGAGACGGGGAGAACGGATGGAATGGGATGGGATGGCAATCGGATCGAAAGTGGGTTGCGATTGGGATGGACTGGACTGGACTGGACTAAACTGACTGGGACCTGGCGCATATTGGATTGGGGCAGCATGGTAGACACTTCTCTCTCTCAAATCTCAATGCCTGTCACCTCTGCTGCCATTGACTGACAAGTACGCAGTAGGAGGATCCGTATCCGTAGTCGGCCTCCATCTCTTGCTGCCATCGCGGCATTGTCACAGATCTGATCATGACTTTCCCGTACCTAATTCCAAGCTTGTGCTGTGTGTCTATCGACAAATGCATAGCTCGGAGCAAGTTCAAGGGAAACGTGAAGGAGAAAGAATTGCCGATGGTTTCCCGTATGTTTGATTTTCCCTTGCCAACGTTTACTCTGTTGGAGTAAGACCAATGAAGATGTAGGTACTTTGCGTAGATGCCTTACCTCTGCTGCTATCTGTGCAGATACTGCGTACGCCGTACAGCATCCCACCAAAAGTCGGTACCCATTCGATAGTTGGATACGTACCAGCCCGGGCAGATAGTACATGCCTTGGGTACTCTACCTAGTATGTAGGTGCACTGAGGTGGCCCCGTTTGGTTCTTTTCTCCTCCCCGGGAACTCGGGAGGCATTTTGTGTCTCCATAGGTCGAGCAGTCCACCTCCTTGCAGCATTCGTAGAGAGGCCCCTTCCCTGTACCAAAATCTCCGATCACAGAGTGTCCTTAAGTACTACTGCGTAGTAGGCACTTGAGTTGGATCTTTACTGCGCAGTACAGGTATGTATCAAGTAACCCATAACCCCGGGCGAGATTTCCCAACGAACATCTCATTGCGCTATCTACTCCTTGGCGGTCCAAATACCCATGAGTAACGACACCGCCGGCGAGTGCGCGCGGGATCTTCCACTACTAGCTTGGGGGCCTACGTGGTTGTGAGTTGTTGACTGGATCGGGCATGTCCCCCCCTGTTTGGGCACTCTTGTAACCGTAATCAGACTAGGCTGGATTGGATCAGAAGCAACAAGAAAATAATAGAGGGCTTATGAAATTTGCACCGGGCGATAAGGAATGGTTCAACCCCATCTAAATCCGACGGGCCGAATGTCACCAACTGGATCAGTAAGTGAGGCCCGAGGGGGAAGGAAGAAGATTGAGGACGATGTGTGCCCGAGAGAAGGCAGAGCCATCAATTGGGACCCAATGGCTCGTTTAAAGCAATTGAGATTCAAGCCTGTACTTGAGGGGGAGTTGAATACGAAAAAGATACTCCTCCGTATGGTATCCGTACTTTCGTAGTCGCTGCTGTCAAGCCTGGCAGGGCAAGCTACAAGGGGCTAATCTGACAAGCCACAGGGCGTCTTTTGTTGCTGGGTTCCATTTTCTGTGATGCAATGCAGAAGCAAAGCCTTGCAGCGCAAGAGCCGGGCAAACAGGGCGGACGAGTCGGAAGCTGGGATGCCCATGAAGAAAGAAAAGAAATGTCCAAGCACAACGCTGCTGTACTGCACAAGGTAGCCTGTAATTATCGGTACGCTCCAGCTTGGTAAGGGTACGGCAGACAACGGCAGCCCTCAGACTACTGCAGGTTGCAGCTAAGTCAGTAGGAAAATGCAACGAGGCCCATTCCAACTCGTTAGCAAACAAGAGAATAGACACTTGGGATCTGTAAGCAACAAGATACTGTATGTAGACCAGCAGCGTTAAACATCCCACCTCTGCTGGCCACCAGGGGATGGATATTAGCTCGGTGCCCGAGCGTTGGTAATAGGGCCCGCCTGGCAGTTGTTGGTCTCCATCCCGCCGGTCTTCCTCTGCCACCTCTGTACTGTGTATGCGTTGTTGTGCATGTCGTGGCGTGGCTTCCGCAATTCTTCTTACTATCTTGCAAGTCGCGCGCCGGACGTCCGAGCCAGAACAACGCAACGCCTAACCATTGCAAAAACGGGGTTCACCGCATGTCCTATCCGGATAGAGTTGAGAAGGGGATGGCATCCACCCGCCATGTTCGCAGTACGGCTTGGTACCCGCAGATCTGACGCACTCACGTACTGTAGTCTGTCTTTCCCCGGCAAGGTCAGCAAGCGGTTCTTTCTTTGGGAGGGAAAAGAATGGACAGAACCCGCAGACTTGCGTGTTGAGGCATGACCAATAGCTGTCAACAGCGTCTGCCAATGCGACACCACATCATGCCTCTGCGTTCGTGTCGCGGCCACTGGCGTGCTCATTGCTCAGGGGTTGGGCAGAGGGGCCGTATTCTGGTATTTCAACGTGGGGCAGAACAAAGGTATACGACGCAGTCAACGCACTCCCAGAACGCGAGAACACGTCAAAATCATCCTTCTCCTGTGGCTGTGTCGGACCTAGCGTGGAACCGTGAGCCCGCAACCTTCTGGTTGGATTCTTTGAGGTGGGGAGGGCAGGGTGAGGGTCTACGCAGTGCGGTACGGACTTGGCAAACTGTTGATCTCCGTAAGCAAGTACATACGTAGTACACAGATGACAGATGGACTGACAGGCCAGACAGCTTCGACCTATACCATGTGGGAGACGAAAGGTCAAAGTGTTGGAGGGGATAACGTATCCGTAGAAGGCAGCCGAGCTCAAAGTCTCGGGCGAGTACTTTGCTGGCAGCATGCAAGTTTTCTTGACGGCAGATACTTCTCACGTCAATCGGCGGGCGGGACGGGACCGTTGAGAAGGCCTGGCGGGCCCGGCGGGATCCGGGTCTCCGTGGGAAACCGATACATCGGGAAAGACAGCACCAAGGTGGAAAAGCCAAAGAGCAACCCTGAATGCCTAAGCTTGTGTCAATTTCACAGACGGAAAACCGGTGTCTCGGGCCACCTTTCTCTTAGTCTTTTCTTCTTCTTCTTTCTTGCGAATTGAGTTTGCTTGGCAAGAGAAATTTCGTGTTCCTGATGTGGGACGGTCAATCAGGCAGCGACAGAGAACGAGAGAGAGCTGTACACAGTGGCTAGAAGACCTGGAAGAGATTGAAACAAGGTAATAAGAATTTAGATGATGGTTGAGCTTGTGCCGAACCTCTATGCTTGCAAAAGAACAATCAATGGAAGGTATTGGAAGTGCCTGCTTCTGTTCCTTCCAGAACGGAAGAAGAATTTACTCTTCAATCAACCTGAAGTGTCTGAGAGAACAGATGAACTGGGAAGGCAGCTGTTCGGTCAGGCGCACCCCAAGGTTTCATGGTACCTTGGATGAGGAAGCAAGTCAGAAGTCCAACGAACATGATGGGGGTGGTTCTTTCCGTCCGAACCATGGCAAGACGTTACCAATGAATCGTCTTGTTTCGTGTCTCCTTCCCTCGGACCTAATGAACACTATCGGGCAGTTGCGACGAGTGTTCTAGTCGTTAGGGCTTCCTCGCACCTGATATCTTACGGTACAGTAAGGTAGGTAGGTACCTAGGCTGAAGCAGTGTTCCTTCCTTACCTTACTCGAGGACATTAAAAACGGACCGACAAACCTCCTTCATCTCCCTGTGTGCAGAGTTAGGTACGGACCGACAGCTCGGCAGCCAAAACGGTGTCATCCAACGTCTAGGTACGGCGTATGGGCTATCCGTCATCTCGTGCACGGTCCAACGCCCACCGTTCCAACTATCGCAATCTTATCCCATCCCCGGTTACCCCCCAGCAGCTCATCATCGGTCATCCACATGCCAGTCAATGGCCAGTTCGGATTCCTCACGGCAACAACTTACCAATGTCAACACATATGATTCAGCAGGAATAGCAGAGACCGCTGATGCGTAGCTAGCTCGGCAATTATGGCACGAATGCTCGAATCTGTTCGCATCATGGCTCAATTAGGTCAAGCACGAAACAGCTGTTTCCTCCCCAACTCCTTCTTTCTGCACATCGGCCGGACCTTCGGACGCGCTGCCATGATCTATCGACGGGAGTGCCTTTCTAACCTGGCTGGCAAGCCGCAAGCACGACCTGTCCCACTCTTTCGATCGCCTCTGCCATGGTTTTCCCTCTTTTGCATGAGACGACGGCCGAAGCCAGCCAGGAGGACCACAGATGCCCGCCTGCTTGCGACCCTACCAGCATGGACTGGTGGACCGAAATCCCCATCTCCAAAGACTCCAATTCCCCATCCTGCCTGGCGGTGCCTGTTGTTGGCGTCCCATTCCTTGCACAGTCCCACTCGACCGCCAAGACTACCAACGGGATGCACAACAAAGGTGGATATCACAGGTCCTGGAAACACGGCCAAAGGCCTTCGACGGCATTTATCCCGGTTCGCAGACCACAGTTACACAACACCATAACGCCAGGAATACAATCGAGATGAAGACACATCCCAGAGTGGACAGTCCAGTATTTTTGTCGAGCACATGACGATGTATCAACATTCGACACCGGCCTTTCTCGTCCATTTACATTCCAAACGCCATCAACCCTCAACCTAATACACCCAGAGGCCATGCCGTTGCTCGGATACCAGACCCGAAGTTATGGATGAAGAATTTAGATCCGCTTGCCTCCGC